GCAGTGGTCTGACACGGTATGAGCATACCCTTGTATTTCTACCATGGTATAGTATAGGTATGTTGCACTAGTTCAGAAGTGCAGCGAAAACGAACAGACCTTATAGGTTGGGGCTTGAATGCTCACGTCTCACCGCATATTGCCGCATGGCGCATAGCAATTAGCGTTGATTGGAGGTTGGAGCAGAACATTTTATCGCGTGCATCTTTGCGCATTTGTACATTTTATATATGTATATTAATAAAAATAGAAGAAATACGGAATGTTTAAGACAAAAGCATTTCTCTGATAATATTTTCTTGACAATACCTTGCGTATTAGTAGAATAGAAGTATATATCAAATTTTGATTATATATATATCTTTGATAGTGATAAAACAAAAATGTTTGTGCTGGCGGAGTTGAAAGATACTGTTAGGATACCACCAAGTAGATTTCAATACAAATTGAATGACGTCGTTACTGACGAGTTAAATAGGAAACTCGCTAATAAAGTAAGTTATTTTTTATTAATTAAAATAAACTCGGTCCCATCAAGAAACTATTTTATATACTGTTATTATAGGTGTACAAGGATGTAGGTCTGTGCATCACGTTGCACGATATTACCAAAATCGAAGAGTCATACATTTTTCCAGGAGACGGAGCTTCTCACACAAAAGTGACATTTAGATTTATTGTGTTTCGCCCGTGGATAGAAGAAATATTAGTAGGAAAGATTCGTAGCTGCAGTCCTGAAGGTATACATGGTATGACATTCTAGTTATATAATTTAATTTTTCATCACACATGTTATTAATATTTACTTTTTATATCCAATATAAACGGCTTCGTCTCATTCTTTCTTTATGCAATATCTTAATTCTTTAATCATCTTATATAAAACCTCTAAGCATATATAGACATATGAGGTTTGGGATCGAATCTGGGGTCTGTCCACTATAAGTCGACCATTCTCATATGGAACCAAGTGTTATTTCGTCGCACATGTTATTAATATTTATGTTATGTTTTGTTTTGTGCAGTTACATTAGGATTTTTTGAAGATATAGTCATACCACCTCACAAGTTACAACACCCGTCACATTTTGACCAAATGGAACAAGCATGGGTTTGGATATACAAGGAAAAGGGAGAAACGCATAATCTGTTTATGGATGCTGGTACATGTTTTACATGCATGCAAGAATCATGTATTAATTTAAAAACGTAAATCATGAAATTAAAATACTAAATTTTAGGAGAAGTTATCCGATTCAGGGTAGTGAAGGAAATCTTTACGGAAGCACCTTTATCATCGGCACCTAATGCACCTCGCGACATAAGTGAGAAGCCAGAAGCCAATAACGTTGCGCCATATACCTTACACGTATGTTTACAAGTTTTTAATGTTATATTATTAATATGTTAGTTTTAATTTCAACAACTAATGGGACAATCACTTTATAGGGATCAATTGACGAACCTGGTTTGGGTTTAGTTACCTGGTGGCTAAAAGAATAATTTATCACATATATTACAATTCATTTTAAGCAAACTAGATTGTGTGATTAAAATACAAAAAAAAACTGGTCAATAAATTTTTATTTTTTATTTCACAGCACATTCCATTGTATTGTGTCATCATTGAACGTTCAATCCGTGAGCAATATCTCACAGTGTGACTCGGTTTTTCAATATAGCTTTGCCTGTATAGATATATTTACGTTCAGTTTTGATTGATAACAGAATTATATAGGTGTAGTTTGTACAATATATACAAAGTTATTATATGCCAAACATGTGACAATGCATAAAAATGATATTTGCATACGATTATTAGATTACTTTGAGAGATTATCTATAACTTAATTTAACAGAACATATATTCCAAAGCTATTGCTATAATCCAGAAGATACAACGTTTTGACAATTTATTATATAAATCTTTTGTATTAAAACGAAAGACGCATAATGCAATAATATATTGTGCAATTGATGTTTCTTAAATTTCAGACTTTTTAATAGCAAATCTGACTTCATTATATAGCATTAGCCACAACGAATGTTGGTGAAAAGTCTTAAATTTAAAAAATACTGATTGCATGATATATGTATGCTGCATAGCGTTTTTAAAATTTTTTGCGTCTTAAATGAATAGTGCAATTGTAAATTAAGAAAAAGTTTCTTTGGCATTCTATTGCTGTTGTCTTAATGCGCAACTCAGACGTAGCGCTCGTTTAAATTGATTAATATGATGCACTTATTTAATCATTAATAGCTTTTTTTTTTTCGATGTGTGTGTATGTGTACACACACCCACACCCACACACACACCCACACACACACAAAACATATATATCTATATATATACCAATGAAAGATGTAATACGACACATACATATCGACGTAATAAATTATTAAAATTATTATCCACTTGAAATCCGCGAAATATATCTAATTATGTGTTACATTAATACATACTTAGTTGGAAACCACAAAGAATACAGCTAGTAAAAAGTCTTAAATTTAGAAAACACTGATTGCACAGGGGTACATGAAGATAATATATGGATGACGATGTTACCGCGTTATCGTTATCTGCTACAGTTGTGGGCCATGATTTTCTGTCTATTGACACACGTATCAAACAAATAATACGAATCATGTATTCATGAATAGGTTGCTAGGTATAATATGACTTGGAATGTTACCTTCTTTCTGTGTAATTGATATCTGCTAAATACTTTCTTTCAAGCAACGTGTGAAGTGTGTTGCAGCAACTACAATCGCAAAGAATGGAACAATGCACATTTGATAGACGCATTTGGCGGAGACGATAATTGAGTAACAACAAGATGTAAACGTCATTCCTAAATTCACTATCCAAATATTTCTCGGCTGTTACGTCCGTCAAATGCGTTTGATGATGTAATCGTTCAAATGTATGCGAATTAATTAGAATTATATACAATATAAATTTAAAATTTATCACAGTTCTAACTGTTGAGTCTCTTGCCATATGTTTAGTCGGACTTTCTACATTATTAGGAGGCAAAAAGAAAGACTCACCGATCTCTCTTTTCTGATGCATTATCAATCTTTTCTAATTTACAATATACTGAATTCACTTCTGTACATAATCATTACATGCAAGAGTCTTCTTTCTGTTTTGTCTAATCGATATAGATACAATCGCGATCGTATATGCTAGTAACATGATTACATGTAGAATGATAGAATGAAAAAATACGAACGGAAGTGCATGGGACGTTAATGTATTAAAAATGTCTATGCATTATATTTAGGGCTAGTGTCCTCTTAGACCATTACATTAGAGGAAAATGTAGTGTTTCTTCATTATCTGGACGTCAGTTGCTTTTTATGCTGTGCTCCTATCAATTGTACTGCTTCCATCTTTCGTTCAAAATATTGCTTTCTGCGAACTTTCTCAATTAAAATCTGTGTTTCTCGTAGTTTAACTCTTTTTGTTTGACACATATATTTGCATATAAAGGAGTTTTGTCCGCAGATATTCTTATTTATTGTTTATTCGATGATTAGGCAACGTGGTAGATGTTCACGTAAATAGTCAAACAGTTCTCGTGACGTTCCTGGACAATTAGTTAGTTCTAACTCGTGTAAGTGTCGAAGCTGTATCAGACTAGATAAACCACTACTTGTGAGCAATGGACAACCTATATCAAAATAAATCTTATTTAATAGACATCCTATTAATATATGTAATTAAATTTACATAACTCTCTCAACTTCTCTTGCGCAAGTTAAATGTAGCAAGATTGTATAATTAATTAATATAAAAAATAATATATTGTATTATTTGTTAAAATGACACACTTTTCTTGTTGGTTATTTGAAATAATTTGACTTTATATTTCTATGTAGAAATTCTTTAAACTTCTATCTGTAGAGCTAATCTATAGAGATTCTGTAGAGTTTCTCTGATGAGGATGTAATTAAATAATAAACTTTATACTGTTTGTTACACAAAGTTTACAATATTTCATCACGTAAGAAAGATTGCGCAAAGTTATGATTTGTAAGTTAATATGTGATCTTACCTGCCACGGACAACACCTGTAGAGATCTCATGACGCATAAATGTTGAAGTCCGAAATCTCTAAGTTGTGAACACCATCTCAAAAACAAAGCATTCAACGAAACCATCGTGGAGATGTAACCGACCCCGATATCAGTAATGTGTACACACCTGTACAGTAATATGAAAAATATACAATGCAAAAGATGGACAGGGAAATGCATTATTATAAATTACACGAGTATGTTAAAAACACGAAATAACAGATAAAATGCGTACAGATTTATCATGATGTCATGACAAATAGTCTCTTGCTTAAAAGTAATTGCGCACGCAAATCTACTTATAATTCAAATTTCTTCTTACCTATCTAAAGTGAGTTCTTCTAAATTATTCAAATCACAGGCGATATATTCCAACGCTGCATCAGTAATCCTTGAGCACCAACTGAGATCTAAGGAACGAAGTCTTGGCAAGTTTTCCGCAATTAATTCAACGCCGTCATCTGTGACTTTACTGCATCCGGAAAGTGACAGTACAGTCAAATTGGGCAAGGAATGTACTGAAACAAAGAGACAGATGTATTAATTTTCGAATATCTCAAAATTACATACGGGAAAAATGTATAGCATTATTTAAAAAAAAAAAAACCATAAAAGAACACAAAAAAGATCTTTCGAATACAAATTTTGATATACAATATTTATTACATCATAATACATTATTATTATATTATTTGCTTTTTGGAATTAGTTATACTTAAGAAAGCATAAATTTGATTAATAGATTTAAGGTAAAATTTAAAGTTGATTTCTTGAAGCAAAAATTTAATTAGACATTTTTGTATTTACTCCTTACCACATTTTTAATTTTAATTATTTTATAAATTTAATTAATGTACATTAATGTCATGTATCAAAAACACATATAAATACTTGAAGTATAAAATTTGATTATTAACATAATCCTCTTTTGCAATGTTTTCTTTTAAATAAGGGATAAATTTGTCATTTGTGAAGTATATACACGCTTATTTTCTAGCACGCTCGCTATAACTTGAGTCTGAGCTATCGGTGACAGCTTGAAAGCTAAATAAAGCTATGTTCCGTAATTCTAAATTTAATCTCAAGCACGTATGCACCTGCCTTATAATTTTGGACTATCACTATATTATTATACATCTAATTAACTTTGTCATTAATAAAAGTCACAATTAAAATTTAAAATTAGCAAAAGGTGTTGGCCATGTTTTTTCGAGAATAATTTCATGATTTACTGTGTAATCATTATCGCTTGCTTTTAACCGAAAAATAAAACATTTCAACTTTAAGAATAAAGTTTTACCGTCTATTTCAATAGACGTTAATTTTATTTTGAATTTTAAATATAAAACAATATTTTTCAAAGAATATATGTACTTTTGTGTATTTTTATATTAAATTTCCTAAATTCACATTAATACATAGGATCGTTATATTGAATGTAAGAGAGAACTTGAGATGAAAAGAAATAAGTCTAATTGTAAGCGAATCATATCCAAAATGACAAAAATATGATAATGACTCTTACCAATATTTACTACGCCGTGATTTGTGAGCTCCCAGCAGGATTGCAGCTTCAAGATACTGAGTGCGCTGCTTTGTTTTGCACTGAAGTAACCGAGCGCAGCGTCAGTAACGTGATAAGCTTGCAAAGAGAACTCATAGAGACTCGGCAACAGTTGAGCCACGGCGCCGACGGCCTCATCGGCGACATTGATGCAATCCGATAAAGACAACGACACTATTCTCGGGGTAAGGCATGCCCACAGGCCGGCCTCTGTTATCTCATTGCAGCCGGCTAATTCAAGCTCGTACAAAGCCTAAAAATAATGGCAAATCGTAAATCAATTCGACACGAGTTGCATTGTGCAGTCATGCAACTCGAAATCTCCTTAACGAACTTTACGTTCTAGTTATCGAGCCTCGAGTCGCAAATTAAGTCTTGGCTGACACAGCATCTTTCGCCCGAGTAAAGTAGCGTTTTTTACTTCGAAATAAATCTGATTCAACTATTTTCGGAGCGTTATTCGTGAGGATTCGTGGGATCCATCGTGGGACATATCGAATAAGTAAAATTGTGGATATAATATAATAATTTATATTACATAAAAATTTATATATATATATATATATATAATTAGTCTTTCTTGAATCGATTATAATTTTTATACTAAATACGACAAGTTATTTAAATATTTATAGCAATAGAAAAATATCAGATTTGTTAAAAACAGTTAAAAACTTAAAAGAAAAAAGGATTTTCTCAAACACATTTCTTTTCTCATGTTAATTTACTCCAAATGAGAATGAAAATATTTTCCTTTGCTTACAATCTTTGTCTCTCTAATTGTCTAATTTCATTTATCGGCGTTCATTATATGCAAATTCGTATTTAGAGTATAGTAGCGTTATAGCGGTACAGTAGATAGGGAAAGATAAGCGTGTGGAATTTACCTGCAAATGATCCAAGAGCGCTTCGAGACCTCTGTCCGTTACCGCGCAGCATCGCAATGATAGAGAGTGCACGTATCGTTGTGCCAACGGGAAACCGCGGGTTAATTCCGGAATATCTTCGTCAGTCGCGCTTAGGAGAACTAACGAATCGAAACCTCTTCTCACTAAAGAAGCGTAAAGTCGGGTACGCGCGTTCGGTTGCATAGCGCGAGCCTCACGGCATCGCACCACCGGCACTAGTCCCGTCCAAAGACGCGGTCTCGCATAGAGAATATCTCTCCATCTCGTGCAAACCTGTGTGCAACGATAACGCGATGTAATTAAGTTGGATATAGTTATGCATTTGATTGAATGATGAAAAAGCTGATGTGACAAAAACAATGGTAGATATCTCGCACTATATCTGGTATTCTGCGAGAGAATATGAAAGTAAAGCGTTGCTATAACTACATATAAGAGTGAAACTATAAAAATAATAATAATAAAAAAAGCCATAGATTTTTTAATATGTATTTCAATCGTATATTGAAACAGAAAATTTTGTTTTATCCGTCACGCACCTGAGCCAAGATTCTTCTTTCCGTAGCGTTAAAGTAGAGAAAAAATCGCCCCAGGAAATTATCGTCCTGCATCAACTGTTCCCACGTAGTCGGTGGCGCGTAGCCACCGGTTCCTCCACTGGCCAAAGGAACGGCTATCTTCATCCTGTTTCTGGGTATCCTAGTTCTGCTCGGGGTGACGTTATTCAAGCGTTCCTTATTGTTGCCCGCTGGCACATTGTTGATGGTCTGTGTGGCACTTCGGCTGGGCTTCTCGGGTGTCGCGTTCACATTATTCGCGCTTTGCAAATTCATATAAGCAACGCTACCACTGCCTCCGCAGAAGACGTTCGTCACGCGCTCCATGACGCTAGTCTTGCCGCCCCCTGAAAAATTTTAGGTCAAGTTAGTCAGTTTCAACATTGTCCGTTCGCGCGTTAAAAATGTCGCAAGTTTGCTTGTCAGATAAAAATATATAGTAATCGGAACGGTGATTGGAAAAATTCAGGGTTCAAGTTTAAAGAAACGGGAGATCTTAAAGCCGTATATGGATTTGACTGATGAAAAATATGCAAAGCTATAAGAATTTATGAGAAAAGATGTATAAAATTAAAGAGCAGAAATATCAAAGGGGCGCAAGGACATCAATCAATTGTTGAATTTTATATAGAAATTAAATATTTAATAAATGTATAGACTTGGTACTTTTCTTTTTATAAATCTTATTACTTATATTTGTAAAACCCTAGGAGTTTGTTGAATTGAAAGAAACTGAGAATAGTGAGAATTCATGAAATTTAGAATCGTGAAAAGGAGAATCTATGGAATTTCGAATATTATGTAAGATGGCAAAGCGCATTAAGTAACTGTTAAAACACGAGAATATTTAAGTAACCAATTTCTTCTTTTTCAAGCACTTTGCTTGGCATACTTTTACTGCGAAATATACATTGCAGTGATGTAAAAATTCATCAGTCGAAGAGAATTCTCCGTCGACTTCTGAATCGATACTGTTAGCATAACTATTAGCATAATTCTACCGTAATTTTCTTTACGTTAGCGAAATCTGGCATGATAGATTACTCAAGGCGTATTCTTGTAAGTATTCTTGTTTTCTTTCCAAGTTGTATGTTCTATTTGGCTCGTGGTGCACCGCTACTTCCCGTTGCCGTTTATCTTGCAAATGATTTTTATTTTTAGCAACTGCAATGTACAAGCTTATCTTGTACGAATAGCGCGAAGATGAATTATAATGATACAATTATAATTACGCCAATATGTAATGGCGAAATTATACTTATGAGATTTTCCTAAGCATCTTTAACGTGTTTGTATTCACATTCGTGCGAGTTATATTCTGTATGTAATTATCGAATCAATTATTTAGGAACACATATAAAACGTCGTCGCCCTTATAATGTGTGTGTTAATAGCATAAACATTAAATGAGTAACAACGTAAATTGGACAAGTTTTCCATTTATTCTAAATGCGCAAACTACTCGAATAGGCTCAGTACATGACGTAGAAAGGAAAACTGAACTTATAAATACGCAAATTCAATTTTGAAGCAGATATTTAACTAAAAATTACTTTTCGAATCGATAATTAAAGTGGCCCATAATTATTTGGTTTTTTAAAAGGCTCTTTAATTAATGATAAGCGTCAACTTTAGTCGTTATACGCATCGATGGCCATGCAGATGCAGAGATTCTCGCGCGAGAAGCTTGCGCCTTTCCTTTTTCGCTGCTCCGAAACACCGAAACCCTCTAGTCAGGCTGATTGCGCATCTTTGCGATCTTGCCGTTCTGGGCAAGGTCTTGGTATTCTTGGTGTCTGTCTAGTCATAGATATTTAATATTGCCTATTTAGGCATCCATAAACGTAAACACGCTTGGCGCAAAGACGGCGCGTTTTTCAAGTTTGAACGCCGTCGAAAATGGCGATCAATCGATCGTGGTCTCGATCGTGGTCAATCGACGCGACGCGCAACGCGGCGGCCGCGGCGCGCGTTTTACCAAGGGAAAAACCGACGTGTGATGGTGCGAGTGTGATTCGTGTGAATCGGATCAGGGCGTTTAGCTTTGAATTCTTTGAACCGAGCTTTCATCCGATCCTCAAATCTGACTACGTGGATCAGTGGATAGGATTTTTTCACCGATCGAGGAAATCGAACCATCGGACGGCCGCGATTACGGTAAAGCGCGATGCTAAGTAAGTAAATAAAAAAATGGCTTGCAAAAGCGTTTCGTTACGTTACATACTCGAGTTCGCGCTCGGCATCGCCTCTATATTTTTGCGTGCACGAGGACGTCGAGGACGTGTACGTTGATCGATTCCGTTGCAGTTAAGATCGCGACGACGAAAGTCACGTAGCGGTGCCGTTTGACAAATTATGAAAAAAATATCGCGTGTAGGCCGTGTAGCAAGACCACAAGAGTGCGAGTTGCCGCGTACTTAGCGACTAGCGAGCGCCGAACGTTCGTAACGAACCGATAGATGAAATGAGGGAGGAATAAAGGAGCGAGAAACGAGATCCTATATCTATCCTCGCGATTACGTAACAGCAGAACCGGAAGCGGTCCGGGACGCCAATCGCCAAGCCGAGAGTGCCCAAGACGCCGAGCGAGAAAAATCGCGGCGGACCGCGGACGGCGGGCGTCTTGATCGGCACCGCGGCATTGTCATTTGTCGGCAACCCTTCGCCTCTAGCTTTTTATTTTCTATCGCCGTTCGGCCGTTCAAGCGGAAGATAATAAACTTGACACCGATCCGCGAGGGCGAACTCCCTTCCTACCCGCGCGCGAGGAAAAAAATCGAAGTCAACGCGGAGCGCACAATGCGTTACTACGAGCAGGAGGCGGGGGCGGGGGGCGGGAAGCGAGAGGAGGTGGCGTCGGCGTCGGCGATAGTAATATTAATTATTAATAATTAAGGAGATAAGGAGGCAAGGGAGATGGAGATGTGCAACGACGAAGACGAGGTGACGAGGACGAAAACGTTTCACCACCGACCATGATGCTTCGACGTCCGTAATCCCAGGCCGTTGATTCGTTTGGTCAGTTCGGCGCTGGCACGCTCGACGACGCCCTGTGCCGATATCGAAGACATGATATCCCGATGAGACACTCGACGGCTCTCGTCTCGTTCCGCACTTGCTGTCACGTCTCTCGGCATCCGTGGTCGAGCTTCGCAGACTTGGTAGTCAAGAGCAATACGATACGATCCGCGGGCGATGGAGTCGCGTCATATTCGACTCGACGACGACCGACGACGACGACGACGACGACCGGACGGTAGGAAACGAGTCCCCCTCGCGATTCGCGAATGAGGACGCCGGCGACGGCGGCACTTGTCGCTATCGCGACTGGTCGCGACGCGCTCTCGGGGGCTCGGGGCCCGGGGGATGATAGCGCACACGAAGGGATGATGGCAGCGAGCGTGCGCGCGCGCGCGCGCGAGCGCGCCCGCCCCCGCAATTCACGCTACTCTCTTCCTTCTATCTCTCAATGCGCGACGATTTCTCATAGCGATGGTCGCGGTGAGTCTTCTGCTACGATTTCACCTCGATTCGCCCTCAGAGAAAGAAGAGAGAAAAACGAAGCACTTGAGTCACCCGAGAATCAATAATCGCGATCACCACGGGATAACCGGGCTCCGCGTCCGCCACGTAATTCGCGGGACATCCGGCGCACGGCTGACATCGACGATGCCGACGATGCCGGGTCACTTCGTATCATCGATATTCGACGACACGAATGTCGTCGTGCGTGTCGTTTACGGACTAGTAGTGGCGAGCTGTGGCGAGCATGGCAAATGGCAAATGGCAAACGGCAAAAGTGAAGCTCGCGAGCGCGCTGCTGCCGAGCTCCGACTGCTCCGAGCTGCCGTTGCGGGTTGCGCGTTGCAGCGATTACGGCGGCAGCGGCGGCACACGTAAGGGTGGTTTGCGCGAGACTGAAACGACTGAATCGATATTCGCGTTGCTGAAGCTCAACTTGTCCGGCTGCCTCTTCCTCACCGTCCTCACCCCCACTTCGCGGTTGCCTTCCTGGCGGCGCGTGTGCCAACTGCCAACTGCTAGGCAGCTGAGGGCTGAGGCCGAGGCAGCTACTTACCGCTATTTACGCCTGCCGAGTGTCGATCACTCGAATGGCGAGATGTAACGTGCAACATTACGCTTCCCCTTCGAAATCTTTCGATTTACGTGTCTTGCTAATCAGGATTGATCGGAATCTTGTGAATCGAGTATCACATTTTCAACATATATTTTTATATGAAAATAAAGATTACGGATGTACATATTATGAGTTGAAACTTTATTCTCCGTATGGTTAAAGATTTTTTAATTTTACGCGATAATTTCTCTCTAGGTAAAAATAGAACAGCTTTAATTGATCGATTTTCTATTTTTCTAAACTTTAAATATTTTACTTATAACATCTCCGAGATACTTTAGTTTAGTTTAAATTTTGTATAGAATGTATACTTTCAACGATTCGAAATGTTTCACCGTCTTTCCATTTAAGATTTGATTTTATTTAATGTCATTTTAGTCATGTCGCCAAAGTAAGATATCGGTAAAATAGATAATAAAGATACTACGTGTAAAACGCGAGATCCAGCCACCGATTCAAATTTCCGAGGCACTTTATATCCGACGACGTCGATGACGTTCAAACGACGTAAATGTTATCTTCTTGCAGAATTGCGTTATTGGATGTTTCACCCACGCCCCGCGGCCCCCGCGCAAAGAGTAAATTTTCTTCTCAAGGGGATATATATAGGAATCGCAGTCGCGATATGACGTGGGAAATTTAACGAGGCGATTGATTAATGAGAAATTGTATAGTATTCATTTTAACATTTATACATCGTTGTATTGGATGTAATGTAATATCTCTGATCTTCGCAATATAAAAAAAGTTTCATGCTTACGCTATCTTGAGACCAGCAATGGAATTCTCTAGAAGCTTGAATAGAAGATAAAGACAAAAAGATCGATTAGAACGTATCGCGTTAACATTATAATATTGAAACACGCGCATCAATATTGACACCTTAAAATTACCTTCAAGTCCCAAACTACGAGTTGTCCGTCTAAACTGCTCGTGCTAAATTCACGATCGGATACCCGACGAATGCAGTTGATCGTGTTTTGATGCACGCTATCCAGAGCATTATCGTTCGTCTCGTTCCTCGCTTGTCGATCCAGCGACTGGAACTTTCGCATAGCGGATAATCCGGCAATCTCCTTTTTTTGCGTGTTGTCCAACTTTGAAACGAAATATATTTGTCCATTGTCATCTATGGAGTACAACATTGGCATACAGCTATGCCCCTACGAGATAGAGAAAGAGTCACCGATAAATATTTTCAACGATCAATATATCTCGGGTTAAATATGATCTCAAGGGTCGTATCGCTCTCTTACAGCGGCAACAATGTTATTAGAACCTATCCAAATGCAACTTAAAAACGGTAAATGCTCTGTATACAGTCTCATAACTGCGTTTCCTTTAGTAGCATCAGCGACACATATAGACGAGTTGTGCGCCACCCAACAGATTTTATTGCCACATGGGCTGAACGCTACCAAATGTATCCAGCCACCTAAACAGCAGCAATGACGTAAAAGTAACGATATAAAATTCACGTCTCTGCGATGAATAATTTTATATTTGTACATTAGACACATTTCAAACGATATAAATAATAATCAATATACATATATAATGGAATAAAAGCTGATCAAGTTGTACAGTACAGTTTTACCTCCATTGGGCGTATTAGGAAACTCCGCCAACAACGTTCCTAAGGTATTACTCTGTCCCCAAGGACTAGTACCAGGAGCATCCTCCATATCACTGATAAATGCGCTGAAGACCCGGACCTTGTAGTCCGTCGACCCAGCGACCAGAACCTTGTTGTCTGGGTGCCAGTCGACGGTGGTTACCGTAGATCTCAACGGACGCTTAATATGTTTACATAACCACCAATTATTCTCTGATACAAAGTAACAAACAGCTATAACTCGTCCTCCAGAGCCCACGGCAAATTTATTTTCTGCAATGGTAGTACAGAGCTTTGTATAGAGCGGTAGCAAGTTTGGAGTAAATTTTTTTTTTCAACGTACATACAACGTACCTAGAGGAGACCATTTTACACAAGTAGCGGCTCGATTTATTCGCAAGAGAACCCAAGCGGGATCCCACTTGCCGTCCTCTTTCTGAGTCCATACATAGGCATTCTTGTCGGCGGAACAGGTGACTATGCGATTAGTCTTTGGCGCCCAGTCGATTCCCATGACAGCCATATGATGTTCCTCCAAAGTCTCCAGCAACTTCCATCCAGACGAAGTACGTTTGTGCACTTGGATCTCATTGTTGTTGGGGCATATGGCAACCTCTGCATTGCGAAAAACGGCTCGATTATCTTATGCTTTTTCTAATTAAATCCAACATGAAAGTCTAGCGATACAGCGTATAGCGTTAGAGGGGAAAAGGTGGTCTTCCGTACCAGTTTTATCTCTGTTCCATGCGTGACAGCTGATGGCATCGACCCCCAAGTTGTAAACCTCCGTCATTTCGCGCTTGCTACTTGTGAAAGAAGACGTTTCAGGTCTCAGGTCTCAGGACGATCGCGTGGATGCGCGCTCGAGACCGAGAAGCTCGACAACGGCGAGGCCGAGCCAAATGGGACGTCGGCTGTCGACAGGGCAGTGGCGATGAATCAGCGGACACTCGAGGCGAGCGCGGGCTCGGCGGGCTCGACGGGCGCGGTCGCCGATTAAACTTTACGGAACGAGGCGTTCCGTTCAAGCGATCGGTGATGTGTACCGGCAACGCACACGGAAATTCGCGGACTCTGGTCAGTCTACACGAATTTCCCCGGCCTCTCCTGACGGTCGCAAAACACGCCCCTCTGCACACCGAAATTGACAGTTCATCCGTAGATAGCGGGTTATCTATCTCCTTTTTGAGGTTATGTCCTCCCGGATATACGTATGTCCTACAGACGCGCCGTGCGCCGTGCGCGGTGCGCCGCACCGTTCGCGGGCGTTCGGTATAATTCGGTATCCGGCTTTTTATTTCTCGCGCTGCTAACGATCTCTGTCGAGCGTCACCCGAAACAAAAAGCTAGAGAATTTGCAAATATTTGCATTGATAACTTTGTAACCGTACCAATCTGTCTTTAGCCTTTACACAGTTGGTAATCCTACTACTGTGTATGACGTGTATGTGTGTCTGTGTGTCTGTGTGTTCCTTGAGCGAAACGAATAAATTTATAAAAAGAGAAGAAATTGTAATCAAATTTTGTAAGAACGTACGTTGCGATAGATCGGGTAGATCATGAAGAGTTATACTTACTGAAATTCTCAGCAATTTCATTCAAAAAGGTAAGATACAGAGATAAACATTTTGACCTGTCTAAGAATTCAACAAATCATGGAGCACTCTACTTCAATCACAGCAATTTTTACATTAATTAAATGTAAATAATAACTTCGCATTTTTTAAATTACTTTTTGCGCTTTTATTAGACACCTATATTGTACAAATATAGGTATAATAGGTATAATATATACAAAATATATTATATATAAATATAATCGCAAAGAAAATTTAAGTGTCGTTATCAATAGAGAGCCAGCCAGCCGGCTTATAGGCCCTTATCATCTGCGTTCGATTACGTAGCCTATATTTGCCATTTCGGCGGTTGAAGCTTGTCGCGGCGCGGGCGCGGCTATTTCTCCTAAATCCTAATAGCAGTAATTATATAAACAACTAGCCAACTGCAGTTACGTGCATGCATGTGTGCGACGTGCGATTGCAAGAAATTTATTTTTGTGGCGCAAACCGCGCGCGCTATTGCTGTGTCGCAAAGCACAAAGCCAAAATGCGCCCTCGTTTAATCCGTCTCAGCCATTCTATCGACGTGCCTTGCGTTTCATATAAGCTATAAGGTCGCGTAATGAAATATTTTACACAGTGGATCGTATAAAGTCGTAAAATATCGATGACAACCAACGCCGCGCTTTGAAATGCGATTCCCAATTACTGCATGCAGTATTAAAATGCATAATTTAATTGATAACTTTTCTTATTTGTATGCATACTTTTTTTTAAATCTATTATTCCGTTCTATGTAAATTTTATAAATATAAAGAACAATTCACTTTACAATTTAATTAATATTTTTTAAATGAGACATGTATTAATCTTTATATTGTAATATTAAATACTGTACATTATGGATATACAATATTTGAGCTGAAATATTTTTATATGTATAAGTAAAACAGATATGTAAAATTTACATATATGGTATGCAAATTTTGACAAAGAGATAGAGATAGAGAGATTAATTTGTTTAAGGCATAATAATAATAATAATAATTTCTTAGTCACTAAATGAAATATTAGATATTTGTCGCGTAATAATGATAATATAAAGTGCATTTTTACCATTTTCTACAACTCCAAGTTATTAAATTTTTGAATTTGTTAGTTATTAAAATGATATGTATACAGCAGCATATATTTTGCTTTACTGTGCAAAGCGGCTTTCTACCCTGCTGGCTCTTTCAAATTAACTTTTAATGGAATTAGCGAAATTCTATTACCGCATAGATAAAAGCTCTCTTGTACCACGCGGTACATATCAAAAAAGACTTTTTAATATTTAGTACAATGCGACGTAATGGAGTTATTGTCTCGTTTTAGCGGATAGCTAAACATGGCATTAATGTATTAATGTATTCCCGCGAAAGTAGTAGTAAAATTTTTTACATAAAATCTCAAATATTTTTCAGAGTGATAGTTATTGATTCAAATAACATTTATTTAATTATCTTGGCTAGAGAATGCAGTTTTGTACCCAAATTAATATTACAGTTTTTTTCTTTCGCGATTGCGATCTTATTGATAAAGAATATACTTCATCCTTATTTTCAAGACATAATTCTTATTCTAGTTTTGTGAGTGAGTGAGTGAGGGTGTGTGTGTGTGATATTCTTATTCTAAGAAAGAATAATCTCTCTCTCTCTCTCTCTCTCTCTCTCTCTCTCTCTCTTTCTTCATCCCTATTTTAAAGACACAATACCATCTTTCCCATTATCCAAATGGCTATATAGTATTGACTTTACGAACGTTGTAACACGGATACAATATTCGATGTGGTCATAGTGAGAGAACTGGAAAACCACCCTCGCCACCGAGAAATCAGTCCCTTGAGAATTGACCGGGTCTGAGTCTGGCAAACAAACTGGTTTATAGACTACACACTGCTACCTTGTACTTCGTACTAAATAACTGCTCTCCAACAGTGCCAAGTCGTTTTCGAAATCGACTCGTCGAGCTCGCGAGATCTTACTCTTGATATACGATAATCTGTATAAATTTAAGCCCAAACAACCTGTTCGATTAAAATAAAAATAGAAAGACAAACAACTAATGCATAATGTAGTGCCAAAGAAAATTGGTATACGAATAATATAGCGTTTAGAAGTTATAAATTTAGCTATCAGATTATTTTCAGCCAGAAATTTAAACAAATTTTCATATTCTCGAATATTGTGATATTTTCGAATTTAAACGAACAAAAATATAAATGTCTCTTTTATATTACATGTATGTACCGATCATAAATGCATTTGACTTGGTAATCTAGTCTAGGCCATATACATTTTTAAAAAATTCTAATATTTGTTGTTTTGTAAAGGGTCAGACCGTCAGAGTTGTGCAATTGTGAGTGGCATAATCAAAGTTTGATTCCTATTCAATTTTTTCACATATAAGGGCCGGTTGTTCCAACCTATTGGTAAACTAATAGTTAAATCATATATGTGTCTTTGTTTTTTCTTTAAATAAAACAAGGATAGACATATGATTTAACTATTAGTTAGTTTATTAATAAATTTGAACAACCGGCCCTAAGTCTTCTTAATCGGTTTTTTTACTGTATGTATTATTGTATGCATATACATATACAATTATACACAAACATATATTTTGCACGAAACAAAATTCCAAGAGAATTTTTTGATTGCATTTTTTGATTCCAATTGTTTTGGAGATACAGAATTGCTCGTTACAATTTCCGTGAAATAAAATATATATAAGTTGTAACTTCGGTTATCTACAAGAAACGTAATAGAAAAATAACATTGTGTGTGTAATATTTGTAGTTGAATTCTTTATCTCTATTTCTATATAGAGGTTTGTGTTTTCGGATCGATAGCTGCGCGCAGGTTTTTCTCGTGTTTTAGCGATATTCGTCAACTATTTTTAAATAGTTTACATGGTTTAAAAAAATTCCATCTTTATATATATATAATGTATAGAATATATATTTTTCAACTAAAATTAAAATAAGATTATAATAGAAAATAGCAAGGAATTTTTATTTATTGTTTTTTCATTTAGGTATAACGTTTTCTTGTTTTTACCTTTGTATAATCTAAAAACAATGTTATTCATACATTGTAGAAATCATGACGCATTTTGAAAAATATCTGAGTTCGTCATTATCGAAAAATATTTCAAGAATATAATTCGTAGATTGCGTGCGCTGATCACGTTTTTAGTTATTTTAATTTTGGTGGGCTATATTGCCACGTCCGTCATGTTCAGATCTCGAGACGAAGCGCTCTCTCTTGTCTCGGTGCTATTTGAGTCTTTGGCGACGCGACGCGACGAGGGCGGAGAGGGCGGATCTCATCTCGCTCGGCGAGAAGAAATTTGACAGTAACAGTAGCGAGATGGAAACGTGGGCAGAGATTTAAATTTCATTATCCTCCGTTCGTTAAATTAACTCAGTTCTACTTCTTTGCATCGTTTTTACTCAAATTGCGAATTATCAGATTCCGTCGGCGTCGTAGGCTTCTTTTTTTTTCGGTCTAATAAAGTCGCGCGATAAAATGTGAGAGAACGGCGCGGGCGGCACATTCCGATTTCCTATTTAAATTATCCTCCGCGCCAGCATATCGCTCGTCGAAGGTAACGATGAGCGGGAAAATATGGAACTTCAATTTCCCCTTCTCCCACATGTCGAAGATTCCAGACGATATATCTAATAAAATTTCCGCTAAAATATGCGATCTTGATCCAGTTGTTCGCTCGCGATGCTTTCGTTTTGGGATACAACGGAAAATTCCTTTACGTAACGTATCGCTCTCGATACATGAAGCATCAGAGATGGACAAGAATTTCCGTTATCACTTATGAAGTCAATAAATATTTTTCAAGTTTTTAATCAATAAATTTTTTATAATAATAATTAGTAATAATTAATAAATATTTCTCAAGTTTTTCAACAAAAATATATAAAAAATTTATTACATCGCGGATATAATGGATGTCTGGGCGTGTTAAATTGCGTTGTCGCTTTCGTATTTTTGCGTGAAACTGCAAATTCAGCGCTAGAAGATACATTTAGATAAAAGGTAGACCCAACGGACACGTTATAGTCTTGCCGTGTGCGTTTGCCACGGTCTTATCGATGCAATCTTTCTCGACCAGCATGCAGACATTTAGATGCAATGACAAAATTGTATATGGGAAATAATTACCATGTATTTTTTTTTTAACGAGCGTTACTATTTTTTTCTTCTAATTGTTTGTATATTATGTGGCTTGGACTATTACGTAATATATATAAATACGTACGACTTTTAAGTTAAGAGATACATATATTATGAAATTTATGCAGATAAAATAACGTATCAGTCTAATGCTTGCATTAATGCGAATAACTATCTACATTCTGCAAAATTAACAATAATATGATTGTTTGTTTTATTATTTGATATTAAGTTTGAATTTTGAACATTTTATTATTATCATTTTTTTACACATAAACACGCAAGATCTTCGACGCTCAGTTTTTGTTGAGGTTTATGAGTAATATTTTTGTATCGGTTTAATCACACTGTTTGTGTTAGATACGTGAACTTTTCGGCATGCAAATCCGCGATTGAGTTACTTTGACATTGACGTCCTACACCGTCGAT